TAAATTTTGTTAATTATAATAAAACAAAACATACAGAAGGAGGGTTTACCTACAAGTGCCGACTCGGTGGTAGGAGGGGGCCCCCTTCAACTGGGTACTGAGTCAGCGGTCGGTGGCGGGGCCCCCCCTCTATACCTCCATTTCCTTCTTTATCTTTTATTTTTTTTGTTGTTTCTGTATCCAGTCGCACTATACACCACACTTAAACAGCTCTCTTATCCTCCAAGGGGCCCCCTCTACACTGCCGGGGCCCCCCCCGACTCAGACAGCTCGTGTGCTAACTACTTGAGGGGGCCCCCAAACTCTAAGCCTTACCACAGCAACTCCACTAGCAAAGGAGGCACTTCCTGGTGTCCTGAGGTCATCCTTAGACCCATTTATCTCCTAGGGCCCCCCGGGGCCCTCCTGGGGCCCTCAAGAGCACTCAAGGGGCCCCCAAGGGGCCAACGAGAGGCTATACAGGAGTGCCAAGGGGGCCCCCCTAGGGGCCCCTATAACGCTTTTAAGCACGGTACCCTCAGTCGCACTTAGGAGGATTTTCTATGAACCCGTGTTTCCTCGTAAGTTTGTTTATTTATATTGATATCTACACGACGTTAGTGCCCTCTGAGGGGCCCCCGACGGAGGAGGGCCCCCCAGCTGTACCCTGGGGAGCCTCCGGTATGGCGTGATAGAAGTTGCTGCTTTAACGAGGTCTCCTTGAGGCATGGGGGCCCCCGCCATGTGCCCCCAAGGAGAAGAGGGCCCCCCTGGGGGCCCCTTCGGGGGCCCTTCTGGCGAGTCCTCCGCCGATCCTGTGGAGGTTTTCTTGTCTGAAGTGGCGCAGTTGCTGCTGAAGGGCCCCCAGGGTTCAGCTGCAGCAGCAGCAGCAGCAAAGGGTGTATGGGACTATGACCTAGGGGGCCTCCTGGCCGACTTCCTTCGCCTTACAGAAGAGGGCCTCATAGAGATGGAGCATGCAGGAAGGGAGGGCCCCTTGGACTCTCTTGCACCCTCTCCCCTGTCTAGAGAAGAAGGGGGGCCCCCCGGGGCCCTTGGGGCTCCTGAGACCCCGGGGGCCCCCGGGGGCCCTCCCCACACAATGAAGTTTTCGCATGCAGCAATGCTGCTGGAGAGGTCGACAGCAGTTTGGGGCTTGAGGATTGAACGTCTGCATGCACTGGCCTTTAATCTGCTGCAGCACGCGCAACAGCAGCAGCAGGGCCTCGAAGGGGGCCTCAAGGGTCGCAGTGGGGTCTCGGGGGCCCCCCAGCTCACGCTGCAGCAACTAAGAAATCAAACCCTGCAGCAGCTAGGTTCTGCTGCGTGTCTGCTGCTGCCGGAGCCCCCCCCACCACTAACAAGGGAGGGGCCCCCAGGGCCCCAGGGGCAGCGGCCCCCTGATCGTGTGCTGCTGCCTGCAATTCTAAGGGGACCTGCAGCAGCAGCAGCAGCAGCAAGAGCAGCAGCAACTGCAGCAGCAACATCAGCACTGCAGCGGAGCCAAGCACAAGCTTCAGGGCCCTCTGAGGGGCCCCCGGGGGCCAGGGGGTCACCCCGAGATCCTGCAGCAGGTGCAGCAGGTGCAGCAGATGCAGCAGCAGCAGCAGATGCAGCAGCAGCAGCTGCAGACCCCGATGAAGATGCCAGGGCTGCGTACAACGAGCTGCAGGGCCTGCGGGTACGGTTTATGCCTGCTAAGGAACCCTCTCAGCGCCACAGCAGCAGCAGCAGCAGCTGCTGCTGCTGCTGCTGCTGCTGCTGCTGCTACTTTTTCTGCTGTTGCTTGCCAAAAAGTGTGCAGAAAGAAGCTTTCGAGTATGTGTGCCACCATCCCGAGCCTGTGCTGCTGCTGCTGCTGCTGTTGTTGCTGCTGTTGCTGCTGCTGTTGCTGCAGGTAACTACTTTAAAGGTACACAAGGAGACTGGGGGCCTCCTAGCGACTTCGTCAGACGCAGCAGCGTACCTAGCGTTAGCCCAAGGGGCCCCCTCCTCCCGTGACAAGTGGGGCCCCCGGGGAATGGGGGGCCCCCGGGGTAGTGGGGGCCCCCAAGGCAAAGGGGCCCGCCCGGGTGTTATGCCGTTGCCTGTTGCCGAGGAGGGTACTGGAGACACGTGGGAAGAGTACCCTGATTTCTTCGCAGCAGCAGATGGGCCCCCCCCTTTGCAGCCGCATCTGGGGGGCCCCTTGGGGCCCCTTAGCGATCCGCAGTCCACGGCTGCCTTGCCTGCTGCTGCTGCTGCTAGTACTGCAGCGGCAGCAACTGCTGCTGCTGCAAGATCTGAGGAGAGCCCTGCAGCTGCTGCTGATTCCTGGGTACAAGACCTGCTGCAGGGGGGATATAATAGAGTAAATGGGGCCCCCAAGGGGCCCCCAACTTCTTCTTTCTTTTCTTCAACTAGTGCAGAAAATATTTGTGCTGTACTTGGCTTCCCTACAGAAAAGGGTACAGAAGAAACAACAATGGGGGGCCCCACAGGGCCCCCGCCACACCGTCTTGCTTTCTTGAACTGTGAGTCTTTGCGCAGCAGCAGCAGCAGAAGCAGCAGCAGAAGGAGCAGCAGCAGCAGCAGCAACTGCAGCACTTCTTCTTACACTAAGGTTTCTCTGTCTCTGCTGCGCTGCAGTTCTCTATGGGGCCGATTGGGGGGCCCCCAACTCCTTGCATACAACAAGGGATTACCTTAGGGGCCTCTCCTTCCCTGCAAGGGCCCACCTCGAGTTACTCCTTAGAAGACAGGCATTAGCAGGGGCCCCACGGGCCCCTTGGGAAGCCCCACCAAGGGGCCCACCAAAGGGCGCCGGGGGTACAGGGGGCCCTGGGGGCCTCACAGGCTCGGCCTTGCAGCAGATGCTACACGGCTATTCGGGGGGCCCCGAGGGCCCCCAGGGGCCCCTCAGACATGAGGGTATTCCTAAGAGGAGGCCTCGAGACTTTCTTATGAATTTGCCTAGCAGCTGCGAGCAACCTAAGGAAAATAGGGGCCCCGGAGGGGGCCCCCCATGCAGGTGGGTGCGGGAGTGCCTTGCCTTCTCTGCTGGTGTTGCTGTTGCTGCTGCTGTTGTTGTTGTTGTTGCAGCTGGTGCCTGTAGGTGATGCACAGCTGCAATATGCATGCGTTTATGTCTGCTGCTGCTCTGTTTAGGCCCCCACCTGCGAGTATCTTGGGGGCCCCCGTTAACGATTCCTTCGTGCAAACCCTAGGGGGGGCCCTATGGGTACACAGGGCCTCCACTCGAGAGGGCCAAGAGGCCCTCCTTAGGGGCCTCTGGCCTGTACCCTCTCAGGGGCCCCAAACCCAGGGGGCCTCCACAGCGGACTGGGGGGCCATCGCGGGGGCCCCAGGGTACAATACCCTCCCTGGGTACCCCGCTATTCGTCTGCCGGGGGCCCCCCATAGGCGTTTCCTCAAGAAGCTGTTTTGCCCTCCTATAGGCACTCAACAGCAGCAGCAGCAGCAGCAGCGGCAGCAGCAGCAGCGGCTGCAGTGGTTAAACCGTTGGCAGTGGGCAGACGATTTGCTGCTGCTGCGGCTAAAGGAATGCCTAGCAGCAAGGAAGCAAGCCCTCAAGATGCAGGCAGGCTAAACCCTAAACCCTAAACCCTAAACCCTAAACCCTTGCCCTCCTTAGAGTGCCAACATCCACGAAATGCGGTAGAGATCCTGTGCGCAGCAGCCACAGCAGCAGCAGCAGCAGCAGCTACCGCTGCTGCTGCCAGGCATCCCTGCTGCTTTAGCTACAATGACCAATTGCTGCGTCTCGTGCTGCTGCTGCTGTTGCTGCTGCTGTCGCTGCAGCGAGCAGCTTGCAGGAGACAGGCCCGAGCCATCCTTCCTCGCGTTCGCGTTTTGAGTGCGTCTCAGCAGCAGCAGCTGCTGCTGCTGCAGCGGAAGCAGCAGCAGCGGCAGCGGCAGCAGCAGCTGCAGCACAGGCAGAAGCTGCTGCAGCAGAGGAGTCTCTGGTGGTGCTCGAAGGAGATCGAGAAGAGGAAGCATTTCCCGATGTATATGTGAGTCTCTACAGCAGCAAGAGGAGCACCTTGTGTATTATGGGGTGTACAGGGAGAGGCATGAGTATGCTAATATGTGCCATGGCTGTCTTACCTGTCGCTTCTATAGCTACTACATCTACGCTGCTGCTGCTGCAGTTGCTGCAGTTGCTGCTGCTGTTGGTGCTGCTGCTGCTGCTGCTGCAGGAAGGGGATGCTGCTGCATGCGGGGATTTGCGTCTGAGCTGCGAGGAGACAGCAGCAATAGAAGATGAAATTCGCCGTGCTCAGAGAGAACGAATAGCGGTAGGCTTCTGCTGCTGCTGCTGCTGCTGCTGCTGCTGCTGCTGTTGCTGCTGCTGCTGCTATAGTTGCTGCTGCTGCTGCTGCTATCGGCTGTATTGACACCTCTCGTGTGTATAGGCACCATCATGCATATGCTATATATTTTCTTGCTGCTGCTGCTGCTTCTGTCTTGCTGCCTCACAGGAACTGAATGCAGCAGCGGCAGCAGCAGCAAAACACGCAGAAGGAGGACCTGCTGCAGCAGCAGCAGCAGATGAAGAACTCGCCATACAATTGCGGTAAATAGCATCCTTGCTGCTGCTGCTGCTGCTACTGCTGCTGCTGTTACCTCCTTCTGCACTCTTCTGCTGCCTGTTGTTGCAGCAGCAGCTGCTGCCCTCCCTGTTGCTGCTGCTTCTGCTGCTGATCTGCTGGTTGTTTGGTACTACAATCGGCTGCTCGCTCCCCTTCATGCTGTTGCTGCTGCTGCTGTTGCTGCTATTGCTGCTACTGCTACTGCTGCTGCTGCTGCTGCTGCTGCTGCTGCTGCTGCTGCTGCAGGGTGGCTCGCTGGAATGCGTACTTGGAGGATCAGCTGATGACGCTGCAGTCTGTCCCTTCCTTTGATATTAGAGAGTCAGAGGAAATCCTTATAAGGGAGACTCTCCGTCTGCAGCAGCAGCAGCAGCAGCAGCAGCAGCAGCAACAGCAGCAGCAGCAGCAACAGGCAAGTTCGGTACCGGCTTCCCTAATACCCCCTAGAAGACCGGCCAGGGGGGAGGCGCGAGCTTGCTGCTGCATCCGTTGTGTCTCCCTGTCTTGCTGCTATTTTGTTGCTGCTGCCTTGCTGCTGCTATCTTGCTGCTGCTGCATTGCTGCTGCTCTTGTGCTGAAGCAGGCTGTTGCCCCCTTAACGGACGCAGAGACAGTCAGCCACGCCGCCTCACCTACTCCTTCTCCTGCTGCACCTAACCCCCCCAGCAGCAGCAACAGCAGCAGCAGCAGCAGCAGCAGCAGCAGCAGCAGCAGTCCTCCAACAGCAACATTTGCTTCTTTAGTTAGGGGGAAGCCTCGGTATGAAATATGCCGCACCTTCCTAACAACTCTTATGGTAAGAGCGAGTCCTAGGGGGCCCCCTGGGGGCCCCCTCTCCTCCTCACTGAGGGCCTCCTCTCTCCAGTAGCAGCAGTAGCAACAGCTATAGCAGCAGCAACTGCAGCAACAGCAGCACGTTGTCTGTTCTTTGTTGCAGCTAACAAATGCAAGAAAGATTAAAATTGTTAAGGGGACAGAAGGGAAAGAAGACGGATCTGGTGAGCTGCCTATACACCACAATATAATTAGCTCCTCCCTCCTATAATACTGCAGCAGCAGCGGCAGCAGCAGCAGCAGCAGTAGCAGCAGCAGCAGCAGGTTGCATGCGTTGTGGTTGGTACAGATGCAGAGGACATCGATAGGCCCAAAGAGGCAGCAGACTTTAAGATACAACTTCTTCTTAACCCTCAAGATATGCAGTAAGGCAGGAGGGGCCCCCTTGGGGGGCCCCCCTTATACAGCTGCTGACTGCAGCAGGAGCTGACTGCAGCAGGGGGTGTCATAAGCATGCAACACTGTTGCTGCTTCTGGTTGGCCTAAGGTGGAGGTAATGGAGCCCCTTTAGCGGCTACCCTTGGGGCCCCCTTAGGGCCCCCATCACTAGGGCAGGGGCCCCTTACACATTTTTGCATGGGGGCCCCTTGCTGCTTCTGCTAGTTGACATGACTATCCCTTCTGCTGTCTTCAGTGTATATCTTGAGGAATTAAGACGCGGCTCTATTCGTCCTCTAACTACTACTGCTGCTGCTGCTGCTGCTGCTGCTGCTGCTGCTGCTTGAGGGGGACACTGTGTCTTGCCTATGTCAACTATTTGCTACCTAGAGAGTACCAGAGGGCACAGACAATTGTCTTACCCAGTTAAACAATTTACCTACTAGTTGGCTAGCTGGTTGGCTAGCTAGTTAGCTGGTTGGCTTGCTGGTTGGCTAGCTGGTTGGCTAGCTGGTTGGCTAGCTAGTTGGCTAGTTCTTGCTAATCAGTAAGGGGCCCCACAAAGGGCCCCACACCCTGCAGAAAAAACCATTAGATAATGAATTAATAAATTATAATGCATGCAAAGAGGCATCCGCACGCAAACAACTGCCCAAAAGGCCCCGTCGGTGGTGAGGGGCCCCTCTGGGGGCCCCCCGTGGGGGGCCCCTGGGGGCCCCCGAAGCGGGACCCCTTGAGTGTTGCTGCGAAACTTCCTGGAGGAGAGCAGATTATTTATGAATTAATTTACCAATAAATAAAAAATATTAAAAAAGAATATAAAGGCAGTTGCTGCTGCATAGGCAGCAGCAAACTATGGGCCCCCTATAATATATTAGGGTCAAGGGGCCCTTCTAGGAGGCCCCCCAGGGGGGCCCTTTCCTTGCTTAAATGCTCGCAAGTTCTGCTCGCGCTTGGCTATGCGAAGCAATTAGAGGGGCCCTAGGGGCCCCCATGGGGCCCCTAGGGCATCGCGGACGCCCCCAACGAGCGTTGGCCCTTGCATTGGGGGCCCCCACGGGGGCCCCCAGACTTCTGGTGATGGGTACGGCAGCAGGGGGGGCCCTTGGGCGGCAATTGCAGCTGCAGAATTCTTGCTGCATAAGAATACAGCAGCAGCAGCAGCAACAGCAACAACAGCAGCAGCAGCAACAATGCTGGTGTGTGAGAGCGACTTACCGACACCAGCATCATTGCCCCCCACTGCAGCAGCAGCAGCAGGACCCTCCTGAACAGCAGAAGCAAAAGAAGCAGCAGCAACAGCAGCAGCAAGATCCGCAACACCAGCATGATCATCCGCCAAAGCAGGTGCAGCGTAACCAGCAAGACATGCAGCAGCAACAGCAGCAGCAACAGCAGCAGCTGCAGCTGCAGCAGCATAGTATGCACATTGCATATGAAGGGGGCCCCTGGGCCCGTCAATTATACCCTCCAATTGGGTACTGGGGCCTCCAAGATGAGCTGCGGATGCTGTTAAAGGCGGGGGGCCCCTGGGGTTGGGGGCCCCTACTGATAGCAGCCTTACAAGAGTGCAGCAAGAATGGCAGCAGCAGCAGCAGCAGCAGCAGCAAAAGAAACAACAATATACGTAGCAGTAACAGCAACCACTGCAGCACCAAGAGCCACCGCAGCAGCAGCAGCAGCGGTCCGAGCAGCAGCAGCAGCAGCAGCAACGGTCCGAGCAGCAGCAACAGCAGCAACAGCAGCAACAGCAGCAGCAGCACTGATTATTTGTCCGTTGCTGGTGCTGCTGGAGGGGCCCCCGAAGGCCCACCAAGTGGAGCTCAGCTGCAGCAGCAGCACGAGCAGCTGCTGGTGTGGCTTCGTGCTGCTGTTGTTGCTGCTGCTGCTAGGGGAGATACACCTGAACAGCAGCTTGCTGCTGTTGCTGCTGCAGGGACGAATCATCTGCTGTCTGTACACCGCAGCGTCTCGCTACGAGATGCTGCTCACTTTATCTTTGCCTTAAGCAGACTCAGCAGCAGCAACAGCAGCAGCAGCAGCAGCAGCAGGAAGGCAGCACAGCGTCTCCTAAGCAGCAGCGCATGCATGCAGCTGCTGCTCTCTGCAACAAATACAGCCATTGAGCAGCTAAAGGAGAAAATAAAAAAGTACAACAACCCCACCACTCCCCCCGATGCAGCAACAGCAGCAGCAGCAGCAACAGCAGCAGCAGCAGCAGACCGCCTAAGGAGCCACGGTGTATCTGCTGCTCTCTTATGGAGTGTTGCTGCTAGGGGACAAGGAGACAACCCAGCAGCAGATAGGAGGGCGCAGCAGCAGCTGCTGCGGCTATCGGAGTTGCTGCTGCGGCGTCAGCAGCAGCTGCTGCTCCCCTTAATACGCGCTTTGCAGCGGACGCAGCGTCCTCTGCAGCAGCAGCAGCAGCAGCAGCACGAAGAGCTGAGGAGACACCTGGTTGCTACTGATTCTGTCTCCTGGTTCCTCTTCTCTGCTGCAGCTACGGTGTCTCTCTCCTCTACTCTTGCTCGTAGGGCTCTATGGGTGCTGCAGCACGTAGGAGGCTTACAGCAGCAGCAGCAGCAGCAGCAGCATGCGAGTAGGGGGCTGCTGCAGCAACCTGGGGTACCTCTTGGGGCCCTGCAACGTCTTGTGGCTGCTGCTGCTATGCAGCAGGAAGCCCGCAGCAGTAGCAGCAGCAGCAGTAGCAGCAGCAGCAGTAACAGCAGCATCAACAGCAGCAGCAGCAGCAACAACAGCAGCAGCAACAGACGGAGTAGTAGGCCAGCCCATTACTACATGCACCGCATATGCGACTTAGCTCTCTCCCGCCTCGCTATCCAGCTGCAGCAGCAACAGCAACAGCAGCAGCAGCAGCAGCAGCAACAGCAACAGCAGCAACAGCAGCAGCAGCAGCAGCAGGACTGCGAACGCCCGAGTCTGAAGTTGCTGCTGGATTTAACAAATTCTCTTCTTCGCCTTAGCAGCAAATCACACAATGTACAGTTGCTGCTGCTGCTGCTGCCGAGACTCATACGCGATGCAGCAGCAGCAGCATCAGCAGCAACAGCAGCAGCAGGGGCAGCAGCAACAACACAGAGGAGTGTGTCTGCTGCTGCCACGTTCTTAACGAAGCAAACAACCCCAAAATTGGCATTATCTCCTGCAGCAACAGCAGCAGCAGCAGCACCATCACAATCAGCAGCAGCAGCTGCTGCTGCACCTGCTGCTGCTGCTGCTGCAGCTGCAGCAGAATGGGATATGGCGCTGCTGCAGTTGACACCGCAGCAGGTCCTTAGCTTGTTGGGGGCTGCTGCGAGGCTGCAGTTGCTGCAGCTGGATTGCTGCAGCCATCCGCAGCAGCAGCAGCAGCAGCAACAGCAGCAGCAGCAACAGGGGCTCGAACCCATGGCGGAAGACAGCTCGTGGGTTTTGCTGACAAGAGAGTAAGGAGACACAGCAGCAGCAGCAGCAGCAGCAGCAGCAGCAGCATGTTGACGTAGAGATAGTCTTCTGCAGCAAAGAGCAACGAGAAGTGCTACACTTGTAATTATTGCTGCTGCTGCGCTGCTTGGTGGAGGTGTTGGCGGCCTGCTGCTGGGGGGTTCCCTGCTGCAGCATTTGCTGCTGCTGCTGCGCCTGACCGTTGCAGCAGCAGCGGCAGCAAGAACAGCAGCAGCAGCAGCAGCAACAGCAGCAAGACTCGAGTTGTTTCATGGGCCCCTCCATCCACTCGGAGATTCTTCTGTCTTTAGAGGCCGACAGCAGCAGCAGCAGCACGAGCAGCAGCAGCAGCAGCAGCAACAGCAGCAACAGCAGCAGCAACAGCAGCAACAGCAGGTTTCAGGTATAGAGGATGAGATGCGGCTGTCTCTCCAGGCGGTAAGTGTCTCCCCTCTAGGGCATTGCTGCTGCTGCTGCTGCTGCTGCTGCTGCACGGGCAGTCTACTACTACTACTGCTGCTGCTGTTGCTGCTTCTGCAGTTTTTGTTGTATGGCCTGTTGTACATTTTGTTGCTGCTGCTGTTGCTGCTGCAGCTGCAGCACGCATTGTTCTGTATTCTGCTGCTGCTGCCTAATAAGAAGGGATCTAATTATTTACCAGCAGCAATAAGACAGGCCTTCCCTTCCCTGCTGCTGCTGCAGCAGGCCTTGCAGCTGGTAAGAGACACACAACCTTGCTGCTGCTGCTGCATCCATTGCTACGGCTGCTGCTGCTGCTGCTGCTGCTGCAGGACCCCCATGTGGCTGGACAATATTCAACCCCTGCTGCTGCTGCTGCTGCTGCTGCTGCTGCTGACTGCATGTGGGTTTGCTGCAGCTGATGTTAGAGGCCCCTACCGAGCTGCTGCTGCACTCCTCTTGCTGCTCCGTGCTGCAGCAGCAAGTGCAGCAAACAGTAGCAGCAATATGTAGGGGACCAATAGACACAGAGTACCCTGTTGGGTGTCTGTACACCGTAGATATTTTGCTGCTGCCGCAACAAGCAGCAACAGCAGCAGTTGCTGCTGCTGCTACTGGGGACGTGCTGCTGCAGCAATAACAGTACATGCGCCGGCAACAGCAGCAACAACAGCAGCAACAACAGCAGCAGCAACAGCAGCAGCAGCAGAAGACTGTCTATATTGTTAATAGGTGTATCTTATATAAATAAATAAATCTTTTTTTCCCCTTTTTATGCCTATATATTAATTAATAACTAATTAATTTAATTAATTAAATTAAATTAAATTAAATTATATAAATAAATAATTAATTAAATAAATTAATTGGTTATTTATTGACTTTTTCTTCAAACTGCAGCCCCAATCGCTGCATGCAATCCTTGGGCAACACACAACTAACACATTCTTCTTCTCTTCCCCTTATATATATATATATATATATATATATATATA